TACATATGATCCAGAGGGAGCACTGGTCGGATAACCACCTCCTGATGGACCTACCACAATGAAAAGGACAGTTTAAATCATCTCTTTCCAAAGTACTTGGACACTTAGCAGTAATAGAAAGTTTACTTACAGAACAGTTATAACTGACTTACAGAACAGTTATAACTGATAAACTGTTATATGTACCTGTTGGATAAGGGCCAGGTTGAGGAGGGCCAGGGGGATAATTTGATGAAGGGCCAGGGGGATAATTTGATGAAGGGCCTGGAGGATAATTAGGCATTGGGCCAGGGGGATAATTTGACGGTGGGCCTGGGGGATAATTTGATGATGGGCCTGGGGGATAATTTGATGGTGGGCCTGGAGGATAGTTTGGTGTTGGACCTGGGGGATAATTTGGGCCCGAGGGAAAATTTGATGGTGGGCCTGGAGGATAACTTGTTGTTGATGGTGGTCCTGGGGGATAAGATGGATCGGGTGGGTAGCTGGATGAAGGGGGAGGTGGATAAGATGGAGTAGGACCTCCAGGTGGGTAACCAGCTGGTGATGAAAAAGGGTCTGGAGGAGGTGGATAGCCTGGCATAGGAGGACCTGTACAGAATTAAAGGGAGAGAATAATTAGTAATGATAAGTATAATAATAATAACAATACCTGATTGAGGAGGATATCCAGGAGGATTGCTGCTATCCGGCATTGGCATACCTCCTCCTACCCAAGGTCCCTGTATTATATTAATGGTAAAAAGTAGCAGAGACTTATACTACGTTTACACTACAGAAGTGGGCCAAACCATGCTGAACCAGGCTGAGCTGACCCTGCTGTACTAACCATGCTGGCCTGGTTTGGCCCAGCTCACTTCAGCTCAGTTTGGTTACTGTTTACACTATCAAATGAAACTGTGCTGGCCCACTTTAAACAGGGCTGGCTCAGTTAAAGAAGCTAGTGTAAACACAGTATTAATGAGGCACAAATTAGTCTACATTTACTTACAGAGGATTGAGGATAGCCTCCTGTTGGTGGGTAGGGTGCACCACCACCAGGATATGGTGGATAGGACATGGTATCTACTATGATGGTACAGATCGAGGTATAGATACCAGTGATTTGAGCTCGAGTTTGAGTCAAGGTTGATGAGTCGGCCAAATATGGCCAAATGCAAAATTCAGCAAAGCCACGCCCATAAATTTTGGAGTTACGTCATAGATATCAGAGTAATTGTAAATGAAAGGGATCCGGGAAAACATTTACTCTATGGTTACGTTACGTAACCTATTATAAATGGTCATATATGGTCATAATGGGTCATTAGCTGGGCGCCGGCCGGCGCGGCCGGCCGGGATGGGCATCAGATGCAGATCATATGATCAGACAGAAAAATAGCTGAGTCATGTTGTTTACTTGAGTTGTTGATTTTTGTCAGGGATATAAAAGACTAACGTATATGATATCTAAACCTGACATGATATCTCTAGATGATCTAAATCCACACAGCTGAGGAGCTATGACAAAGCCCACTCAGGAAATTGAAAAGCTTTGCATTGATGCTTTCAACAATGAAGACAAGAAACAAGCACTGATCTATCTCGAGCAGTGCTCCGAACCATCTAAAATAGTGACAAATTTTTTCCGCCGCACAGCTGATTGCGTGGGACCTAGAGACATTCTCACTATCTCAAACGTTTTTCTCCTTCACATTGCAGCTAAAAACAACTGGCCAGATGTTACCTCAACACTCATCACCGAGTACCACTGCAATCCGGAGGCAATAAATAACCGCAAGAGCACTCCACTGCACTATGCTGCTCGTTATGGAAGCATTGAAACCCTTAAATGTCTTATCACCAAGCATAGCTGTAACCCGATGTCTTTAACAAGGAACAAATGGACTGCCTTACATTGGGCAGCATCTACTGGACAAGTAAACGCATTACGTTACCTTATTGAGGATTGCAATTGTGATCCCTCTCTCTGTGATACCAAAGGACACAAACTTCTTCACTTGGCTTGTGCCG